TGCTTCAGAAGAAGCAACGAATGCAGAAAGTCGGCCCTGCAATTGTAACGGCTTAGAAACTTCAGCTGAAGCAGAAGGTGGCAGCTAGGTTGCTTCTTCCAGTTGGACAAATAAGACATGTCACACACATTCTGTAACAGTTACATTGACTGCCTATTTTTTTCTGGGCCAATTTAAAATGCTGCTTTTGACATTTAAAGCCTTAAATAGGTTGCGACCTGGCTGTTTGAAGGACCATGTGCATTCAGCTGAGCCTGCTTATGTGTTTCGTGAGTGTCTAGGGCTCTGGTCTCAAGGCCATCGTTAAGAGATCGGTGTTTGCCAAAGCAGAGCATTCTCAGTGGTGATTCCATAGTTGAACTATCATTGCTATTCAAAAACAAACACTAAAAACATTCATTTCAGCTTTCAAAATGATATATCTTACAGGGAAACTTAAATATTTAATATCCCTTTTATTCATTGTTGCCTTGTGGATTTTCAGTGCTGTTCATTTTAGAGATATGCATATATCTTAATAATTATTGCCATTTTAAACAGTGACAGCTTGGTTTTGAGAAGGAAGACAGGATTTGATCCCACAATTCAAAAGCACACACAAAAGTAATGCTTTTCAGACAGGATTTACCCAAATTTTCCCAACACAGCAAAATCGCTTCCTTTGTAGGAAAGAAAGGGAACTTCCTGGGTTCTCCAAGAAGCTTTGTCTGACACCACTTGGTTGCTGAGGCAGTGCACTGTAATCAGCTGGGCTTTGGTCAGTGGTGGGCAGGGGGCATCTGCTTAGGCGAATTGACCCCCCCCCCTTCCCTCTGGGGCTGTGGCACATCCATTACTGCAGACAAATCATGCACTTACACACATTCAAAGAGCAACACTTCAGGTAGATAGTCAGTTGCAGTGCCATAATTCTATGTGTAATTTACAGCAGAAGAGGAATGAATTAGCCGCTGCCTGTCTGGAAGCACTGCTGCTGTTAGCCCCCTTGGCCTTACTTAAGAAAGATGGGGCATAAATGAGTGAGAATAGGCTTCCAGCTGCACTTCTCAGGCTACTAGATTTCTTTCAACTAATGATTAGATGCAGAGTACTGTGCTTTGTTAACAATGGATACCTACTACAATTTTCCTTCAGTCTGTTCATCTGTTCATTGTGTATTTAAAAAGAAACCCTCCTCATGAGAGCTTTTCTCACAAAATATGATCCAATCACAGAAGAAAAACTACATTATTTCTGTAAAATATACTGTTGCCTTGAAGTAACACAGCACTGTTTCTACATTGTTTCCGTAAGACTCCAACAAATTTATTTATTAAAGAGGCTTTACACTTATTCAAGCATCCCTTATCTGTGTAGGCTGAGCACATAAGAATGGGGAATGTACTGGCTCCATCACCTCCCATGACTTGGTTGTCTTCTACATGGGAAAAGTGATGTTCTGAAAAAGTGAACTGCCGCTGTTTGCAGAAGCTCTTCACGCAGTTTTGAACACTGATTTTCTAGCCTACACAGAAGAAGAACATTTTTGAAACTATATAATTATAGAATTGTTTTGTTATTTTGAAATGCAGGAAACATTTGGATTATAACACAATTTAGTCTTCTATTCTAGTTGGAACCAGGCATACTAAATAGAGATTAAACAAAAGATTAAAATTCCATTTTTTGTATGTTTAGCCTTTGAAAGTCACTGGATTCCTTTGGCAGTACCTTAGGTAAAGCTTGGTGGACCTCAGGGAGGTCTGTTTACAGCAATCAGTTTAAATCAGTCTACATTGTATTCCTTAATAGGCCATTCTTCTCTTTGTGCTGGAAGTAACTAGGTGACATTCTCTGGATTGTTAAGCAGGAAAAAAAATCCAAAGTCAGGTTAATCTGTCTTTCTCTGAAACAGAACTATTAAGAGTTATGACACACTGATCCCCTGAGTCGTCTTCTCAGGGTTTCCCTTGGCAGTCCAGAACAGCCCATGGACAGTATACCACAGTAGGTATTGATAAGTTTATTCCTAGTGTAATTTATTGTCCTTACTGTTACATTTATTTATATGGAAAGGAAAACATTAGCATATTTTTATTTTAGATACTTGCATATACATATGTTTTAGTCAAAAATATGTAGGTTTATATATACCTATTTCTATGCATAAAAACAAAGACTGTGATTAAAGGATACCTGGGCTATAATCCTATTCACAGTTATAAGGGAATGAGCTCTATTAAACTTAGTAGGTTTTATTTCTGAATAAACATTCATGGGATTGTGTTGTAATGGTTTTCTTGTTGGAACACAAGTATGGAACCTGTAAAACTCAGGACTCTTGATACTCTGTTTTATCAGAAACCAGAAATCAAAATATGATGGATTATTTATCTTGGCCATTTTGTACATAGACAGTATATTCTGTGTCTTTTCATTGACCCCCCCCCCTTTTAAAAAAATGCATGTAATTTTCTGAGTGGACTGCATATATATAAGCAAATTAAAATAGAATTTTGGTCAGTCTCATTTTGAAAATTGATTTTGATGAATCTCAAATGCCACTCCAAACAAAGCCACATGACTCCTGAAAGATTCTTTGCTATATCTTCAGGTAGACTCATCCTGTAGCTCACACAGTTTGCCCTGCTGTAATTCCACAAATATAGTGTATCTGGGAACAGGTAAGCTGAATTCCACCCTCTTTGGGACAGCAAAGTTCAGGAATTCTGTCAGTGACAGGATGTCAGAGCTGAACACTTTGAAGCTATACTACCAAAGTCTAGCAATGCAAGATTCTCTTTTAATCCTTAAGCTGTTTATACCTGTTCCCCATGCTATTTGGTCATTTGGAACGGAAAGGGTCAGTTGAGAGGAACCCTAGGGGAAGCTGAAAAGACCAGATAAAATTATATTGAACTGTCCCCCATTACAGCAGCTCTGAAACACTTTACTGCCCTGTGTGGGAGTTAGAAAGGGAAAGCTAGAGAAACTACTGCATGACTTTTACAGTTTCTATTGATTCTGTTCCTCAAGTTCAGATAAAGTAAATGTTCTGTACACATGGGGTTTTTTCCCTTTCAGTTATTTTTGCTTGGTACTCCAAAATGCATTTTCTTCCATTTGTTCCTCCCTCCCTCCACACACACCCAAATCTTCCTGATGGATTCACTTAGAAAGGGATTCTGTGACTCAGAATTCAATATAAATCTGTAAAAAAAGCAAAAAAAAAAATCCATTTGTTGATCACCCCATTATAGTCAATGGTAAAATATACAAAGCTTTGGCTTTCCAGCACAAAGGGGCTGTTTATCTCGTCCAACCCCCTGTTGAGTGCAGGAATACAGTTTCAAGCATCACTGGCAAATGGCTTGTCCAGTCTCTGCAGAATAGTTCTAGAAACAGAGACACATTGCCTGACTGCTTTGACAGTTAGGCTTTTTCCTGATCAAACAAAATCTGCCTTCTAGTCACTTAAGCCCATTATTATCTGTCCTCTTGCCTTGGATAACAAGGCTCTCTCCATCGGTCATCTTCAGTGTAGTAGCCGCTTGGGTACTTGAAAAGTTATTCTTTGAAAAGTGTTGCCATATCTCCCTCAGCTCAGCCCTAGTCTCTTCTTTTCGGAAGGCCAGGCATACCCAGATCTTGCAGTCCTCATACAACTTACTTTCTAGTCCTCTGATCATTTTTATTTTCCTTCTCTGAAATTGTTCTGGTTCATACGAATCCTTATTAAAAGTGTGGTGTCCAAACTAGGCAGTATATTAGGTGACATCTGACCAGAGTGAAACAATTACTTGCCATGATTTTGAAACTAGACTTCTATTGATGCAACTTAAAATTGCATTTGCCTTTTTTTGGCAACCACATTACATTAATGAGTCATTCAATTTAGGATTGACTACAATTCTAATCCTTTTCTTATGTACTATTGCCATATCTTCCATTTTATGCCTGTGCATTTGATTTCTTTTTCCTGAATGAAGAACTTCACTTCTCTGTTAAATTTCATTCTGGGGGACCAAATAAGCCTGAGCCTCTTTCCAGGTCTAAACCAAATCTTGCTTTCAGTGCATAATCCTATTCTTAATAGCTCCCAAAATTAATAGTTCCCAAATTTTAGTAGGCTTGCCTCTAGCTTAAAAATGGAAGGCTCCCTACATCTTCTAAAACTTCTTATGATTGTGAGCCGCCCCGAGGCTTTGGCGAATGGGACGGCATAGACATTCTCTGAATGAATGAATGAATGAATGAATGAATGAATGAATGAATGAATGGCATTTTGAGGCCTGGTATCCTCTAGATGTTTTGGGCTATAACTCCCACAAACCCACCCAGCACAACCCTGTGGTCGGGTTGTGGGACATGGCAGCTACTCAAGTGTAGCACCAGCCACAGTGCTGCAAAAGAGTAAGCAAGCGTATGAATAGCTCTGCATCAGACATGAGGCAACATCAGATCTAGTGAAGTATTCAGGAGAAATCTCACATTGTCTTACTCTTTTGTGAAAAATACTGTTCTTAATAAAGGCATAGTGCTACCATGGATTTTGTGTCTTCTCTGTAGAGTTCTGCCCATTTCTGTAAAATAAATAAGTACTGGTTTCATGTTGCTTATTTTTTATTAATTGATAATATGTGTAAGACTAGTGATGCTCAAATCAGTAATTATTAATGCATCATTATTTCTCCCAGAATGTTTCTATAATTGTAACAGTACTAATGATGATAGCACTTAGAGTGTATTCAGAGCACTTCATACATGTTACCTAAGCACTCTTTTTAATAGTCTTTCAGGGCAGCTTATTGGACGTATCCACGCATAGCAGATGTAGAGCCCAAAAGTTACCGACAGTGACCTACATTGCCCAGCACATAGGAAATTGATGTGGCGTAGTTTGAAACAAGTGAAATATTGCTGAAATTCTCATTCTATGAAGCTGTGAGATTTATCGGTCATTCAGCTTAATCTTCTGAGCACTTCTACAAAAATATAACATCATTCGTGTTTGTTTAAAGGGTTTCCATCCAAAAGATACTTACCTTGACAGTGGACAAAGGAAAAAGGACTGGCATGACAGAGATGCTATAAGGAGAGAGTTGCAGCGGACAGGTATGTATAACAAGTCATTTGATCTTAGTCACGTAATACCTTGATTCATAGCCTACAGATAAAATTGTGCTGAGCACAAGGTATTAGGGGAGGATGTACTTCAAGGAGCCCAGGAGAAATGACTGTTTACAGTTTACAAGGAAGTCAGCTGGCTTTTCCCAGCAAGTTATGGCAGGCGTCAGGGCACATGTTGAGAACACTTTCCCACTGCTTCTAATGTCTTTCATATGTATGACGATCCGCTATAGCCAGATGTCTACAGAAGTGATTGTTACAAAGGAAAGAACTGGTGAAAGTACCACATCAAAAGTTTTCAGACTTTCTTGACTTGGCAATAGCAAGAAATAGCCTGGGGTGGGTACTCAGGTAGCCACTTTGGTATGCTGCTTTTTCATGCTCAAAAAGTAGGTCTAATCACCTGAATGATGCTGCAACATGAAGTCTCACAGTGGATAGGATAACAAGGAAAGGAAGTGCTGTGTGCAGCATAGTATTCCTGTGGATACGTTGCTGGTTTTAGGGAGGGAGTATTCAAATAGCCATGGTTTCATTGCAAAAGCCCCACAAACATGAACTAAATAGGAAGGAAGGGAAGCAGTAAATGACGTTGCTGGTTTTAGGGAGGGAGTATTCAAATGGCCAAGGTTTCATTGCGAAAGCCCCACAAACATGAACTAAATAGGAAGGAAGGGAAGCAGTAAATGTTAAGGGAGCAGGCGAGCACTGTAGATACTATAAGTTATAATTGGGAATCCAGATGAAATAATGTGGCCTGTGCATGTGGGAGGCATGCAGTGTCTTCCTGCTCTGTTTGGCTTGTCAAGGATGGTAGGTGCCAGGCCTGAAAGTGGCAGGGATGTACTGGAGGCAGGCTGTAGCAGTTCTGCACTTGGTCATAGACTTAGACTACAGGCCGGAGCTGTGAGAAGAACAGAAGATGTGGGAGAAGCTCCAGCAGCCATCATAAGTGAGCTGTGGGCCCTGATTTTGATAGGTTTTTTCCTGGCACAACAGCGCCTGTGAGTGGAAAGTTCGGTATAGGTAAGAAGGACTAGGTGGGCAGCAGTGGCAGCCGCGTGGCTGCAACAGAGACAGTGCAGTATCTGATCAGATTATAGAGTGGCAAGCTGCCAGGTAATGAGATGGATGTGGTGAAGAATTGTAATATTCCCCAGACTTGGCTTTGTCCTCAAAAGCCAAATAGTGAAAGGAGCAGAGGTCAGGGGCAGGACGAATACCAGCAGGATTTTGAAGGCACTGCCTAGGATTGCCTCATGTGAAGCATTTTTCTCCCAGGAGGAAGAAACAAATTGTCCAAATTAATGATCTTTTGCTCTCTCCATTGTCTGGTAAACAGTTAAAAAAATGAAAAATTAGCGCACCCTGAGAGCTGGTGTAATGTCGTGTCGGCTCATTGGACTGGGGGTCTGGGAGATCCAGGTTCTAGTTCTCACTTAGCCATGAAGCTGTCTGGGTGGCTTCAGTCCAGTCATAGGCTCTTACATAACCTACCTCACAGGGTTGTTTCTGTGAGGCTGAAATGGAAAGGAAGAAACACTTAGAAGCTTCCTTCCTTGCAAGAGGAAGAAAGGTGGGGTATGTGTTACACCCGTAGGCAGGAATAAATCCAATACGTTTGTTTCTATCTTTTTTGGAAAAAAAAAGTCTTATAGACAAAAAGAACTAAAATGAGGAGGGGGCCTGAGGATGCATATAAGTTCTGGTCCCCAGCATGCCTGCATTTTTGGGTTTTTAGTATTTATTTATTTATTTATTCATTTCATTTTTATACCACCCAATAGCCAAATATATACTGTTGTTGTTATTAATAGTACAATATCCTATACTATAATTATATAGATTATTGTTTCACTCTGCTATTATTGTTTCTGTACTGCTCAAAAGCTGAAGCTGTCTGGGTTCTTCACAGCAATCTATCAAAAATACAAAAAGTAATATAACATACAGATAATAAGAATGCAATATAAAACTCCAATATACAGAGTTGTAAATAAAAACTAGACAAATCCTCACCCAGACCTCCCCAAATCCCAGGGCCAGTCACTGGATTCAGCACAACTCAAGTGCTGGGCAACAGTCGTTTATTTAAAGGGTTCACAAGATAGGGGTGGAGGGTCTAAAAGCACTAAGACACACAAGGTACAACCTCTTGCAGGAAAGGAGCGGGGGACGGAAGGGGAAATGGGAGAGCAGCACAAACACAAGTTTCAGACAGTCCGCACTACCCCAAGACCATGGGCCATTTTGGCCACCTCGGACACAAAAATAGCAAAGCGTAACTAACCTAACACTAATACAATATACAACACCACACGTAGTCTTCTCTCTCGCAAGATAGCACAGTCTCCAGCAGCAACAGGGAACCTCTCTTTGGAGAGGAACTCTTGGGGTGACATCTCCTGACATATTCCAGGTGAGAATTCTGTGCCCTTACTGCCCCCAATCTCCTGCCTCTGGGAAGTGTGAATTCTCTTGCCCTTGCTTATAATTTACATTATCTGCTATTTTGCACTTCAAGCCCTAGCTGGCCTTCCTGTGGCCTGGGTGCCTCATTTGCCACCTGGTCCAAGCAGATCTATTGTCCAGGCTAGCAGTTAACCCTTCAACATCCAGGGCTTCAGGCAGTTTTAACCTGATGATGAAAAGATGACAGTGTTGGCACCAGGCAGGTCCCCCCACAGGGAGGTGCTTCCATAATGGGGGTGCACCACTGAGAAGGCCCTCCTCCTCGTTGCCTCTTTTCTGGCCTCCCTTGCAGTTTGCAGTTGGAGGAAGGCCCCAGATGCAAATCAAATGATTCGAATAGACTGATCAGGAGAGGTGTTCCATAAGGTACCATGGTTCCAAGCCATGTAGGGCTTTATATGTTAAAACCAGTCTCTTAAAACCAGAAGCATATAGGCAGCCAGTGCAAGTGGGCCAGAATTTGTGTTACGTGATCAGACTGTCTCATCCCTGTTAGTCTGGCTGCCATATTTTGCACAGTCTTCTACGGCAGCCCCTGTGAAGTGCATTGTAGTAATCTAGCATAGAGATTACCAGAGCATAGATCATCGATAGCAGTCTATTTCTGTCCAGACAGAGGCATAGCTAAGCCACCAGCTGAGGCTGGTAGAAGGCACTCTGAGCCACTGAAGCCAGTCAAGTGTCATAGATGACTCAAGAAGCACCCACAAGATACAAATCCCTCCTTCAAGAGGATTGCATCCCCATCCAGAACAGGTTGGCTACCCACCATCTGGTCTGCAGAGCCACATTGCAACAGTATCTCAGTCCTGTCTGGATCAAGCTTCAGATTCTTAGCCCTCTTCCAGTCCATTTCTGCAGTCAGCACCAGCTCAGCACATCCACAGCCTTACCTGATAAGGATGAAAAGCAGAAGCAGAGTTGTGTGTCATTAGCATACTGAGGGCAGTGCACCCTGATTACTCCATTCAGCAGTTTCATGTAGATGTAAACAGCACTGGGGATAAGATAAACCCCTGAGAAAATGCATACTGGAGGATCCATGGGGCTGAACAGTGCCTACATAGAATTCTGCAGGTGTGTTCTACCTTTGCATATCTTCAAAAGGCACTTACAGGACACTTTGCAGTTCTTTGCATGAATAATAAAAAGATCTAAGAGAGAGCTAGGTACACAGGAACATTAAGGGAAGGCTTACATGCATACCTATGTCCTCTCTCCAATTTAGTTCTAGTTCTGTGCAGGTAAACAACTTCACAGAGCTAAAATTGCCAACATCTCTTACCAGCACCATTCAGTGACCTTAACATTGCACTGCCAACCTCCCAGCTGCTAGGTAGCTTAAGAGTTATGGGGTGTGATGCTAGAAAATCGTGCTTTTGCAGTGAGGGAATGTAGCATAATATTGCCAACAGCAGGAAGTAAAGAGGAAGCTGGCAAAATGGTCTCTTCAGCTCTGACTGCTGGCAAATTTCTGTCCAGTTAGGATGTGATAAGGATTAATGTCTCTACTGCTATTACTTTGTGTCTCTAGGAAATGGAGAACAAGGAAAACCATATCCTATGACTGATGCTGAGCGGGTGGACCAAGCATACAGGGAAAATGGCTTTAATATTTTTGTGAGCGAAAAAATTTCTCTCAATCGCTCTCTACCAGACATACGACATCCAAAGTAAGAACAAACTTTTCTTGTTACTAAAAAAATTAACATTCCTATTTCCAATTGTCTTGTGTTCTGCCTTGTGCCATGCCAACTAGCATTGACCTTCTTTATCACAGGAGTTGTGGTATCTTAATAAGCCAAGTTATTTACTGCATTAGACAAGAAACCTGACAATTCAGTAATTCCTTAATTTAAACTGCACCAAGAAATAAAACTTAAGTTGTAGTGCTCACAGATTCCTACAATTTACCATTTACTTCCTTTGTGTATATTTACTGATGTCTTGGCTATACAGATTTTGCTTTCTTTTTTAAACTGGCTGCTACTATTTTTCTGTAGTAGGGAACGGGCTCTGAAATGTGTGTTTCTGGCCTGAACTGTTGAGAACAATCCTTCATGAATTGGTCTAATAAGTGTCATTAGTCACCTGAATGTTTATATTTAGCTATTTCTGAGACTGATTACTTGAACTGCTGTAATAGTAGTACATTTCACATAAACTGATTAAGCTGGTAACTGTGTTCATCTATCTCCTAGCTGCAACAGCAAGCTATATCTGGAAAAACTCCCCAACACCAGTGTAATAATTCCATTCCACAATGAAGGCTGGTCATCACTTCTCAGAACAGTGCACAGCGTTCTCAATCGCTCTCCTCCTGAACTAATAGCTGAAATAGTGCTGGTGGATGACTTCAGTGACAGAGGTACTTCTATTATACTGTCTGTCTGTCTATCTACTTACTTACTTACAAGGGCGTGTATGACTGAATGAATAATACACCAATGTGATATAGCAAAAGATACATTCTAAAATTTGGCTTCTTAAACACTTCATTTTTTATGTTAAATATTTTTGGTTTACCAAAGTTACCTTAGAACTAATTTCCTATGGGCTAAGATATTCATTTGTTTATTGCTAAGGAACACATTTCTTATTTCTTGCAAAAACTGTCACATATTCTTAATTTTATTAATATTAAAGGTGCTTACAGATGCAGAGCTCCACGAGCTAGAAATCCATTTCCACTGTAACTTACAAGGGGAATCGCAATTCATTGCCCCACCCCCGGGGGGTCTAGCACATTTTGGACATGTGCATTGTGCTTGTTCTGTCCATATGGGGCAGGCAACATGCCCATATGAGCAGCGGTGTCCCCTCCCCTTTGCCCATATCTTAATTATCATCGCCTCCTACTTCTGACTCCTCATGGTGGTTGTTTGTTTGTTTGTTTGTTTGTTTTTGAGGAGGGGGTTATTTGTTTTGTTCTTGCACATGTACGTGCATATTGATGTGATCCCCTGCTTTTGGGGTGGCAGGTGTGTGTAGAAATCAGTAACTTATTGCCAGAAAATAATTGCTTTATTACATTTTAATAATAATTATAGAGAATGAACATGGAAAATGGTAAAATTTGCCTTGCCCACCCATGTGACCATGTCATGCCCATTAGTATTGACAGAATGTAAGAGCATTGCTGGATAAGCCCAAAGTCCTATCTAGCTGAGAATCAGGTGCTTGCGAGAAGGTCAGGACAGAAAGGTAATAACAGTTATGCTCTGTAAAGCACTTCCTTTCATTTGTCCTGAATTTCTCACCATTCAGCTTCATTGGAGGAAGCCAAGGTTCTAGTACGGTGGTACCTCAGCTCACAAACGCCTCAGTTCACAACCAAATCGGGTTGCAAAAAAAATTTCATAAAAAATTTGACTCAGGTCGTGAACTCCTCATTTGGTGGCGACCACGATCGTGGCCATCTCCCCCCCCCCCCCCCGAGTGGAAAGATGGCCGCAATTGTGCTTGGGGTGGAGGGGGGGAAATGGCCAAGATCACGCTCATCTTTCCTGCAGGAGCACAACTGCGATCTTGGCCATCCCCCCCACCCCCACCCCAGCATGATTGCGCCCACCTCCCCCCCCCCAAGTGCCAGCATTCGCTCCCATAACCCCTCCCCCCCCAGCATGCCAGGATAACGGGCACATGCAGGTATGACGGGCGCAATTGCAGTCATTCTGGGGGGATGGGGAGATGGCTGTGCTCAGGGTGGTGGGGGAGAGAAGGCCACGATCTTTGTTGTTCTTTGTCACTTTCCTTCACATTTTTCTGATTAAAAAATAGTTACAGAATGGATTAACTTTATTTACATTGAACCTTATGGGGAATTTTAACTTGGCTCACAACCAATTTGGGTCATGACCAGAGTCTTGGAATGGATTAAGTTCTTGAGCCAAGGTACCACTGTATTACATGAGAGTGAGAAAAATGTTTCTGTTTCCTACCCTATTAATAATTTGTTGTTAGTTGCAAAGTCGTGTCCAACCCATCAAAACCCCATGGACAACATTCCTCCATGCCTTTCTGTCCTCCACCATCCCCCGGAGTCCACTTAAGCTCACACCGACTGCTTCAGTGACTCCATCTAGCCACCTCATTCTCTGCCGTCCCCTTCTTATTTTTCCTTCAATTGTGCCCAGAATTGGGGTCTTCTCCAGTGAGTCTTTCCTTCTCATTTGGTGGCCAAAGTACTTGAGTTTCGTTGTCAGTATCTGACCCTCTAAAGAGCAGTCAGGATTGATCTCCTTTAGGCCTGACCGGTTTGATCGCCTTGCGGTCCAAGGGACTCGCAGGAGTCTCCTCCAGCACCACAATTCAAAGGCCTCAATCCTTCGTCACTCAGCCTTCCTTATGGTCCAACTTTCACAGCCATACATTGTAACTGAGAAAACCATAGCCTTGACTATACGCACTTGTGTTGCTAGGGTAATGTCTCTGCTTTTTAGTATGCTGTCTAGATTTGCCATAGCTTTCCTCCCCAGGAGAGAGCGTCTTTTAATTTCTTGGCTGCATTTCCCATTTGCGGTGATCTTGGAGCCCAGGAAAATAAAATCTGTCACTACCTCCATTTCTTCCCCATCTATTTGCCAGGAAGTGATAGGACCGGATGCCATGATCTTAGTTTTCTTAATGCTGAGTTTCAAGCCAACTTTTGCACTCTCCTCCTTCACCTGCATCAAGAGGAACTAAAGAGCCTCTTGATGCAGGTGAAGGAGGAGAGTGCA